GCATGTTCTACTTGTAATAATGATTGCTAATGGAAGCATACGGTAGAGCCAGTTGGAAAATGGAAAGGCACCAGCCTTTCGTTGGGCCTTTGGCATTCAGGACTCTAGCAACTATAGGCGGGCAGCACTACTCAGCCCTCTTCTGTTGCCAGGTAGGAACTCAGACTCTGTGCTGCCAGGGAATTTAATAGCCTATTTTTTCCCCTAATGTGAAATGTCCTGATTTTAAAGAGTTGGCAACGGATCCAAGTTAACTAAACAAAGTAAAATGAAACACTACGAGAATATAAATGAGGCAGGGGAGGAAACAGAGGAGGAGGAGGAAGAGACATCAAATGCTGGTTGGCTTTTAGTCACTCTGCAACGTACCGTTCCGCCACCTCTGCTGTGGGATCCCCGTCACAACCTGTCTTTTTGGTGATAAATCTAGGCGATACTACAGTGCTTGCGTTGTGGAAGGCATTATTCAAATCCAGAAGGTGAAAATATCCCAGAGCTCTTAAAAAAAAAAAAAAGAAGTGTTATTAACCAGAGCCCTGGAGTCCCCATGGAGAAGAGACTTGGCTGTGGCAAGGGTGATCCTTAACCTCTTGTATACTTTACAGTCTGCAAATCCTACCCTGTGGGAACCTCAGAAAAGAAGCCAAACTTTTCCATTGACTCCAAGGCTGTGTCAGCACATGGCAGACCCAGCAGGCCCTTTGTATTTTAAGGCTAAGGGTCCAAACAGCTGTAAATAGTTTATGCCAAGATCCCTACAAGTGTGACAAACACACAGCATTCTAAGTGCCTCGGGAGGCCAGTTAAAGCTAGGGGACAGCACAGATGAGAGTCAGGGCTGATGGCCATGGTGGTTTTTGCTGTTCTCTCCTCATCAGAAATGACGCTGGGGTTGGAAGTTACTTATACATGGGTTTGCTTTCATTTTTAGTGAAGGATTTTTGGAACTGTGTATTTTCTAAAGCGAAATGACTGCCTACATGTTGAATCCCTACATCTCCTCCTGCGGGTCCTCTCATGTGACTTGCTTTCCTCTAGATTTATCCAACCCAGGGAAGAAATTAATGGATATCTTCACATGTCAGCAATTGCATTACTAAGACCTGAAATATCTTTTGTGCTGTGTTAGAAATTGTTTGTTGAGCCTTTCAATATTGTTTTTGGCATATTGTCTCCCTTAATTCACAAAATCCCTGGCTATAAGATTAGTCTTTCTTGAAGGAATTCCATTTCTGTATGTGCACCTCTTATGTCCTGTTTTCATTATTTACAATTTTGGAGTATTCTTGAATCATTGTATCAGATTTATTTGATAACATGTTGTCATAAATTACTAGTGACATGGGATTGGGAAAGCCAAAGTCATACAAGATGAGCAATGGCCACACAGTGTTCTTGTGACTGCATGTACGATTGCCAGCTGCTGTGATACCTTAGAAACAATGGGTATAAATAGAAATTTACATCTAACTGGAGAATTATAGTGTGCTTTATATGAGGCAGCAACGCAGAAAAGAGAGATAAGGGTACTAATGCTGAAACACTGCCTAATGGAAAGCTAAGTATGTACAAAGTCAAATGAATTTTACTCCATAAGGAGGTAGTCTCATATTTGGCTATTTTTCATAAAATAGTAGGATTCCTGAGCCGGGCAGTGGTGGCTCACACTCTTAATTTCAACACTTGAGAGGAGGCAGAGGCAGGTGGATATCTGAGTTCCAGGCTAGCCTGATCTACAGAGCGAGTTCCAGGCCAGAATCCAAAGTTACAGAGAAACCTTGTCTCAAAAAAAGTTTCTTAAAACATAATGATCAAAGTCTTCAAATCAAATAATTATATTACTTCTAAAATGGTGTGACTTCTTGTTGGTTCTTATTGCCTATGTTTCCATTTATTTGACATATGTATCGCTAACCACTTCTCTTCAAGAGTAGCACTCCATAAAGGATAAAGCTGCACAAATAGTAAAATTCTATTTCTCAGTTGTATATAAAACTCACACTGGCCTGGTGGTGGGAGCACATGCATTTAATCCCAGAGGCTGGCAGATCTTTGAGTTTGAGGCCAACCTTGTATACAAAGCAAGATCCAGGACAGCCAGGGCTACAAAGAGAAGCCCATTCTGGAAAACAACAGCAGTAAAAATAAGTGAAGCAATATCTAAAATCCCAATTGCTTTGAGTAATTTTGTAACTAACTAACTAACTAACTAGCATCAACAACAATAACAATAATAATAAAATCCACTAAAATTTTAGCTGGGTGGTGGTGATGGTGGTGCACACCTTTAATCTCAGCAGTCAGGAGGCACAGGAAGGCAGATCTCTGAGTTTGAAGCCAACCTTGTTTACAGAATCAGTTCCAGGACAGCCAGGGATACACAGAGAAACTCTGTGCCGAAAAACCTAGAAAAATAAGAACAGAACAACAAAAAAACCTTACACTAGTTAGGGATTATTATCAGTACACTTTTTAATATGTTCATCAATCAAATAAAGTTATGGTTATGTTGAGAAACTGTGAATAAACTAAGAATATAATTAGGAATGAAAACACTTGGATAAGTTAGTGAAAATTAACAAAACATCATCAAGGGCAAGAGTTTATAAACATTAATTTTCTTTATATAATTGTGTAGGCAAGTTCCTTATTTTATTGTTTAGAATCCAAAAATCTAAGGATAATCCTTGGCTATCTTTTGCTCCATGATGAAATAACAAGAGCTATCCAGCCAGTAATAAATCAGCTTCATGTTGTCAATTAGTCCTGATCAGAGAGAAGCCTTGAACAAAACTGGGCCCACTCTGCTGTATGCCTTGCCAATTATACACTACTAATCTGTCTTGCATCAAGGCTACAGGACTGTTGGATTGATAATCTCCCAACCCCAGCCACAGGAGACAAACTCTTAGCATTAATCTCTGTAGATATTATGAATCTCATTCCCTGAGGACCCAGAGGTGAGCATACAATCTCAACAAGAAAAGCAAGACATAAGGAGACTTCTTCATGTTTTGGATTTGTGATAAAAAGAAAACCAGAAACCAAAACGAACCAACATTGATTGAGTAAATGCATGCCAAACGATGATTTTTGGAACTAATCAAGAACAAATACAGTCTAGAGACAGGGACATTTATAGAAGAAACCATTATACCTCTGTTAGAGTAGATTTCTCTGACATGTTCTTTGACGCTTTTATCAGTGATCATTTTGTTGGCCTCTGTGAAATTCTTTCAAGTTGATATGATGAAACAACTAGTTACTCATTTCTCCCATTTACCAGTTGTGTGTCTAGCCTTTCTATTCTTCAGCAGCCTTGTTAATGAAAACTCATTATCATAGTGTATGACTCAGGATTTTCGCATGGATAAAAGAAAATCTGAACAGAAAATGCACTGCTGTGATCCTTAGCTTTTGGTTCCTTTGCTATATAATTTTAATGAAAATTTTGACACAGTGTCGATCTATATTCAATAGCATTAGGTAAAGCATGTCTAATATATACATTTTATTAACTAAATGAGTTGATTAAGCATAAAATGATGCTACCCCAAATAAAATTTAAAATGAAATGTAACCAAAAGAAAAACACTAAGTAAACTTTGCCATTACCATTTTCAATCTATAGATTTTATTTTGATTATAACTAGAAACAGAAAGTAAAGCTAAGTTGGCTTTTTCAACACCAACCATATAAAAACAGCAATTATCCCCAATGTGAACAGAGAGGATTGCATGCTTGGGAAGTATAAGTCAACACAAAAACTGATTTTCTCTGTGCTTTGAATGTATCATTATGAGAAAATCAAATTTTATACGGTAGATAGATTCACATTTGGCACCCATTCATGCATAGACTTTTAGATACATAACAAAATAACAATTTAGCATGAGCATCTCATTTAGAAACTGTAATTGTTCTCTTTAGTGGTCCAGTTCTTAAGTCCAATTTCCATTCCACTCTTTTAAATGGCATTAAATTTCTGCCTCACTTATATTTAGGCTTCATTCTTTCATCAGTACATTGGTAATAAAATGACATTTATTGGCTAATTTTTATTAATTTTTGACTTAAAGATGCTTCATAGAATTAGGCTTATAGAGTTCAGGTCTCTTGAAGTATAATAGATAAATGAAACAGTGCCACTAGGAATGTGGATGGATATTTCTTCGTAAAAATACTGCTAAAAGAATTGTTCTGGGGGATAACCTCTTTAAGCCTGAGCAGTAGTTTTTAGCAATTTTTACAGCATCGAGATTACTAAATGATACATACATCTTGAAATAGTTACCTTTTTATATGCAGTTCTTAAGCTGGTTTTCCTATTCAGAAGAATACACAAATTTGAAGTAAGCCTGACTTGTCTTGTAATGATTTTGATCTTAAGTGCCCGTATGTTGAAGACTTGCTGAGGAAGATGATGAGGTCCAACCAGAGGCATTTAAGATCATTAAGAATGTCCCTCAGGCTTCTCTGGGGTTATGGGTTGTAGGCTGGGTATCTTTAATTTTATGTCTGGTATCCACTTATGAGTGAATACATACTATATTTGTCTTTCTGGTTTTCCTGGGTCTGACAAATGGGGAACTTGCTTAAGAACAAACTAGGCTCCCTTAATATAGGTGAAGATGGTGTGACTGGGACAATATATGAGGCCAATTACAGTGTGCCCAAGATCTAACACAAATGCATGAACTGACTTAGTGGAGACCATTCTCTATGGAGAGATACCTTGCCCAGCCTAGACACAGGGCTGTGGGGGTAGAGAGGTGCCTTGGTCCTGCCTCAACTAGATGATGGGATGGGCTTAGTAGACTTCCTAGGGGAAGCCCTACTCTCTCCATGGAGCAGATGGGAGGAGGAGGGAGTGGGGGAGCGGGAGAAGAGGATGGAGGGAGGAACTGGAATTGGAATGTAAAAAAATAAATTAGTACAAAGAAGAATGCCCCTCAGAAAGAGATTGAGGAATTCTGCCCACTGTTTGCTCCCTGGCCAGACAATTTTTACATTTTAATCATCAGCTGGGGAGGAGGATCTGAGGACAACTTTATGGAGTGGCTTCTTTCCATCCGCCTTTACATGGGTGCCTGCAGGCGTCAACCTCTACTGACCACACTTCTGTGGCCGTCGCCGTTCTCCACTGAGCCGTCTATCTCGCTGATCCTCTTGTTCATACAGGTAAGCAGCTTTGTTCCATCCCGTGCTTTCTGTCATCGAACTCCTGAATAGTAAGAGGAGTGATTCTGTCAACTCACAAACTAGAACTTCAAGAACTATGCACCGAAAACTGACCCTGTCTCTTTTATAAATTTGCTGGTATTTACTATAATGACAGAAAGCAGACTAAAGTCCCTTCCCTTGTAAGATTTGGATATTTTTGTGGTGTGGTGAAAGCTTTTACTCCACTTCAGTCATTTGGAAAGGGTTATGATATATGCCGGTCCACTCTCCTCATAAACAATAAAACGGGACTCGTGGCCTCAGAGCGTCTGTGACAATTACATGAGCTAATGCTGTGAAACACTTACATTGGACATTGGTGATTGTAAACTTTTAAATCTAATCCCCTTATCGCATCAAAGTCTATTCGTGATATGTCATTATTCAAAGACATCACTCACTTTCAGCTAGATATTGTATGTCATAACTTTTATTTTTCAAGTTACTTTAGCTGAGCAGCAACCAGCTACTGATGGGGACTTCTGGGGACCCCAAAATTGTCAGCCTAGTATAATGAGCAAATAAATACACTGGAAATGTAGGCACCTCCAGTTTCATAGGTATCCCTTGGGATGGGGGAGGGGGATGGAAAGTCTTCAGAATCCCGTCATCCCCCTGCTCCCAGTCCTGATCCCTTTTGACTGTCTTCCCTCTGTGACGATTCCTTCTTTGTGCATTTAACCTTCTGTCCATTCCCCAAAGCTCTACTAACACAGGGCCATTGGGTTACTAAGCCACGTTTCATTAAACGGAACATTTGAAGAGAGGGGGTATGTATAACCCAGAACAGGAAAAGCAGAAAGCTGATCATTAGAAGGTTGCTTTGAACTAAGCTTCCTCTCCATCTCTCAATATGCATCCTTCTTCTTCCATATGTCTCCCTACCTTAGAGGTCCAAACCCCAAATTTGTATGTCCATGTCCAACCAATCGAACGCTCTTATTAATATGTTATGCATAGCATTTTTGTGTCACAATTTTCTCTTTCAAAAATATGCACGTATATTTGAATATATTCAATACATTAAATATAACGAATGTAAGTGTACATATATACACACACACATATATATATATCAAGCTTAGCATTAAAAATTCAATAAATCAAGGCTAAAGGGCTATTGCCTTATCTTATTGTCTCTTGTTTTGTCCCGTTTGACTGTTGTCTCTTGGAAGCCTGCTCTTTTCTGGAGGAAATGCTGTGGGGGAGTGTAGCTGGGGGAGAAGAGAGGTGGGGAAAATATAATAAATCCATTAAGATGTTTGCCTAAATAGCAGGAAAGGTGGGGGGAGCAGACGCTTTCACTTAGAGTTCATCTTTTTAGATGCCTTGAAATGTTATTCAATTGCTTCCTATTGTTTCATTTCTCCTTTACCGCCTCACGTGTCTCTGAACACGATCATCTCAGATCAGCCCTACATCTATCTGTTTTTGTCTGACTTTGTGTTAGCACTATGAACTTATTTCTCTAATATTCAATATAATGTAGACCTAAATAACATTCTGAAATGAAACACTAAATACAGAAATAACCTGTTCCAAGTAATTGGAATAAATGTGCCTGTGTGTTCATCTCTCTCCCCTTCATTGGATTTTATAGCTTTAGTGTTCTTTGCCCTGTCCAATTACGTACTTACTGACAATGTACTTGGTTTTATCAGTCATTCACTCAGTGTTTCTTACATACTCCTTTGTAATAATCTTTGTTCTATCATAATTGCAACATCTTTGGAGAAAATTGACTCCTTCTATTTTATACCTAACAAAAATTTCTGTCTTGTTAAACATTCCATTTTAGTTTATAATAGTGCCAGTGTTCTTGACTCTTATTTCATTTGCAGATTCTCAAATTATTTGGGGGATTTTTGTTTGTTATTTTAAAAACATTTGAAGAAATTAATCAAGATTTTGTGGCATGAGGACAAGGAACTTGGAATGTTATGTTCTGATCATGTTACCCTGTCCAAATTCCTAAAGAGGTATTGGGCAATTAAAAAAAATTCTCATTCTTTGAAACTTCAGTGACGATAATAGATCATCAGAATATTGAGTACATTAAGGAAGATCATTCAAAGTGTTCTAAGACTTATTTAGCTTTATTTTATAAAATAGGATATTAACATGTACTGTTAAATTTTTAAATTATTGTGTATAGACTTAATTGTGCTCAATTTCTTCATTTTACCACCCCAAATAATTTGAGTCAAATGATAATGATACTACTAATAGTTAAGGTGGGTTTGTTTGTTTGTTTGTTTGTTTTGAGACAGCATCTCACTGTGTAGTTCTGGCTGGTCTGAAACTAACTAGCTGGCCTTGAACTCACAGAAATGAACCTTACTCTGTCTCCCCTGTGCCAAGATTAAAGACATATGCCACCATGCCTCATTTGGTCTCATTTTTTATCAGTTACAGATAAATAAATTCTATAGAGAGTATAGAAGATGTATTATGGAAAACAATATTAGGGGAAATATTTTATCATTTGTTTCTCTACATCTAAATGTGCTGCTTTTTTAAAAAATTAAACATTACCTACTGATAGCTTCCTGCTGTACTTAAGCAAATCAATCTCCTTTGTCTTACCATCTCTAGATATACACTTGTTTTTCATTGCTAACCTCTTTGCTATAGATGTGACCCAATTTAAGTTATTCCTTGTTCACTGTCACCATCAGTATAACTTTGTATCATTGTTCACATCACCATCAGTATAACTTTGTATTGTTTATTGTTGCCATCGGTATAACTTTATATCACTGTTCACTATTGCTACTAGAATAACTTTGTATCACTGGTCACTGTTGCTATCAGTATAATTTTATAGATGCCCATCAAAGGCATGTCATTCGCGGTGGACAGACTTGATTTTTCAATGTGACTGAATTCAGATCAGCGAGGGGACAGACTTTGAGGTATGTCTATGAGGACGCTGAAGTGAGAAGACACATCCTGAATGGGCTCAAAAGAAGGAAGAAATAAGCACCGCTATTCATCTCTCACTCTTTCTGAATTTGGACCCAGTGTGATCATGCTCCTTCAGTGTGAGCTAGAGCTGATGTCACTGCCATACATTCCCCACTGTCGTGGACTGTACTGGCCAATGTGGGTCAATAGATCCCTCCTTTAGTAAGCTTCTTTTGTCAGCTATGTTGTGACAGCAATGAGAAAAGTAACTAGTCCTGAAAATTAATACTGAGAGTAGAGCCGTTGCTGTGAAATGCCTGACTAGTTCTTAGACATTTGGAGCTGACTTGGGAGAAGAGAACATGGAAGAGCTTGGCATTGAAGTCTCGAAGAGCCTTAGAATGTAAAGAGAATTCGATGAGTACTTCTTATGGGAGTTTGGAAGAGCAGACGGATAATTTAGTACTGGCTTTAAAGGCTTGCTTCGTGAAGTTTCAGAGCAGAACAATGGTACCTATAGAGAACTGTGCTGGAGGACATTCATGTTACACTCTCCCAATACAACTTGCTTTGTTCTGGCCATGTTCTGTAGCACTTAGTGGAATTGCATTTAAAAGTAATGGAATTCGTTTGTTGGAGGACATTCAAGATGTCACAGCATTCAAGCTTGCAGCATGCGTCTAGCGCTCTGACCTTCTCCAGGTCTATTAGTGAAAGAGGACAGCAAATAAAGAGGAGAGAGATGGGAATGGTGCAGGGTGGAGACGACGGGAGTGTGAAAGAGCTGAAAGCTACAGACAAGGCATTCTTGGAGAAGGCAGCTGTAATTGTTAAACAGACCTGTGTCATTAAAGACAGCAGATTCTTCACGGGGACAGTAGCAAAGGCGTCCTGAGAGTCAGGCTCTACCTACCAAAGGCTCTAATTTGTGAAAGGGCTAATTCATTTGAAGGGAACTGATGCTGAAAATATTCCACTGAAGGGTGTTTCTGGCTTTCAAAGAATTCAATCCCTTAAAAAAAGTTTTGTAAAGAAAAAAAAACTCAGCCTCTTACACGCTCAGAGAACACTTCAGCTGCTTTGAAAGATGGCCAGACGACATCTTGAGCTTGCTGAAGAACTTGGCAGCAGACTCTACCCGGTGCTCAGTTTACAGGCACTCACAATGGAAGAGCGCAAGGGTGATGGAGATCTGAACCAAGGGTCCAGGAAGCCGCTGAGACCAGGCCATGTGAAGCAAGGATGGATTCCCTCAAAGGAACCCAAGGGGCCATTGCCTGAAGCTTGGGAAGCCTAAATCATGGTGCAGACCCCAGCATGTTGGAGCAGGCAGGCCTGTGAGGTGTGTGCTGAGGAAACTGTAAGTGGGAAGTGGAGCTGGCTGTAGAAGTCGGTTAAGTGTGGTCTAGACAGCAGAAATCCCGAGTCATGGCTCCCCAAGCCCGTGGTAGATGAGATGCTACCATCAGAAGCCTCAGGTGGCCAACAAAGAGCCTACTTGGGTTTTGTTCTTCCTCTGGTCTAGTCTTAAGTTGGAATGCGCCCATTCCTTCATTTTGGCTTGGCAAGATGTAGCCTGTTTCATGTGTAGAAATTATGTAACATTTTTGTTGTCTAGGGACTCACTGTTAAGAGTTTATCTGAGTCCCAGACAAGAGTCTGAAGTGAAATTCTGAATAATTTTGAAACTGTTGAGGCATTAGAGGATTTTAGAGATGGAGAGATTGTATTTCATTTTTGCATTATGAGATGAAGGTGATAATTTCGGGAACAGAAGTGAGATGTTAGTGTTGTATTTGGGCTTCAGCTTGACAAGGGATGGATTGAAGATGGCTAATCTTTCCTGTTGACTAGATTGGACATATCACCTAGAAGAAAAATCTCTGAACAAGGTGTGGGGGTGCTTTCAGAGACAGCTGAGGTGGGATGACCTACCTTGTAACTGACATGGCAAGTGAAAATACTCTAGTGAGACATTTGGACTTCTCGAGTTATCAAACTATTAAGATAATGGTCTCAAAGAGATTGTAATTTGCATAGGCAACTCATGCAGAGGGATGAATTGTCTCTCAAAGAGAGATTTTGTAGTTGCAACAACTTGTCTGACCACTTTTCCAGAGAGTCTGCAGCCCAGATCATGAAGGTGGATGGGACCACACCTTGACCAGCACTGCTTAGTTATACTCATGCCTTCTGGATACAGGAAGACTGCTACACCCCTGAGCTCACAGCAGCCTTGGTTGCCTGCACAAGGGCTGTGTAAGACCAAGTCAGCCAACATTCGAGCATGGGGAGCTGTCTCCCAGCTCCTACCCATAACAAACTAAGGATCCATGAACAGCTGTTGGCTTCCAGGGGAGGAAAAGTCAGTTCGCTTAAAGAGTGAGGGCCCAGGTAGGTTGGCCATAATCAGAGATGGTGTTGCACCATGAATACCTGGGTGGCAACAAAGAATCTCCTGGGTTGTATTAATAAGAAAAGGACATGAAGTTAGGGGCGAAAGGAAGTGAGACGAATCTAGGAGAACTTAAGGGGATGAGGGAAGCAAATATAAAAATCTATGATTTTTTTTCAGAGAATTAAAAAAAATAACATATCCTAAACACAGCATGTGAATTTGGGAAGGAAAAGTGATGGGAGATGGGGAAAATTGGAAGAGTCCTGGGAAAGTAGGAAAGTGGGGGCTGGGAAGTCATTGTGCCTCCATTATAGGATAACACCATGTAAATTCCTTTTATGCATCTGTATGCATGTACCTTGGGAAGCTTCTGAAGGACTGTGGTTTCTTATGTCACAGCCTTTAGTGTGAGTTAATCACATACTCCCACCTCCCCCTTGCCCTCCGATGTCCCACCCCATTGAAACCCTTCCTGCTTACAATTTTACTTTCATTTAGATCATTTTTAGTTCACGTGATCTTCACCCGTCTTGAGACTGTGAAAGATAGTCAAACTTCCTTCCCACTGCATAGCTTCCGCTCCATCCAATACCATAAATGTTTTCTCTTGCTTTTTCCCTTTTCCTCTGTACCCTCATTTCTCTCCCCAAAGCTTAGTTACCTGAGATATCTACTCATACTGAAAGGCAGAGACTGCCGGGTGCGGTGGTACAAGCCTTTAATCCCAGCACTCAGGAGGCAGAGGCAGGCAGATCTCTGTGAGTTCGAGACCAGCCTGGTCTACAAGAGCTAGTTCCAGGACAGCCTCCAAAGCCACAGAGAAACAAAAAAACAAACAAACAAAAAAAGGCAGAGACCAACAGAAGATTTGAACATGAGGTGTAATTAACAACCGTTGTCTTCACAGTAGAATAACCTCATGGTATTTTGTTGGCATGCTTCCAGTTCTAGGATCTTACACATATTTTTGAGGACAACCAATTTCCCAGAACTGGCTTCTGGAGCCCTGGTGTATTTTGCTCATGAACGGGAAGCCTCGGAGTTTCACCTCTAGTGGCATGGCGCAACCTGCCAGCTGCATAGAGATGAGGCCGAGCTTCTCATTGCCTTCCAGATAGCCTTCTGCCAATAGTCTCCACATTCAAGTCGCTAATTGTTGGGGATTCTGTGAGGCAAATGAGGTGATCCACTTTATTATTTCTGCTGCTGGCTGGAGACTTTGCATTCTCCGATTTAACACTTAATGAGCTGCTTAAAAGTTCAAGAGTCTTTTGCTGTTTTTCACTCTGTTTTGTCTTACACGGGGTCTCTTATTTCATACAAATTCATCTTCTCCTCCTTTTCTGTAGAGTGGAGGACAAGATAAAAGTGGATATGTGTATATATGTGTGTTCATTCTTCCTGTTTATTTATTTATTTATTTATTTATTTATTTATTTATTTATTTTCGCTGAGAGTAGCAATGTCATACTTTGGGCTTGTCGGTCTGTCTGGATCCACTACAGATGGGGTTCCCTAACTTCTTACTTCCAAGAGGAGCCTCATTTTTTAAAGAACATAAATTTTATAGAGTTTTTTAACCCCCTCACATAATTTCTGTTTATTCAAATCATGATTCCCTACACTATTTCACTCTTTGACCTTAGAAGATTAACCTTGGCACTTAAATGTTGTATACCTAAAACACTAGGCACCTTTAAGAATGGAAAGACAGAGCAATTTACTCATCAGTAACTTACTTCTCTACCCCATATGAAGCGTTTGTTTTTACTTTTTATATAAGGCAAAGGTTAAATAGTAGGGGAAGAAAAAATCAATTAAAAGCAGAGAAATGAACAGATTCCTGGTAGGAGCTCAATGTTTCCTTTACTCCATGAATTGCCTTTATGTCTTCCCTAGCTACAAGTATCAATAATAAATTACCATTTTCCCCAAAATCAGTTACATTGAATTTCTGTCTCAGTGCCGAAGCCACTCTGATTAATTCCATAAACCAATGGCAGTTTTCTGGTACTAAGAATAATGATTTTTGTCAGCATGTTTAGAATGAATGTTTTAACTGCCTAAGAAATTATAGGGACATTTATATCCCTTGGTGTTTCTTTCCGGTTAAAGCAGACTATTATGGTTGGGATCCAAAGCACCCACCCCTCAAAGACTCGCATGTCAATGTCTTGGTCCCAGACTGAAGAGTCCAATCATTCAGAAGTGATTGGATATTGAAAGTTCTTATCTGTGTGTGGCCTGGTGCCTTCATAGATTAAGGATACCGTGGGGACCAGGGCACTAAATTGGAGTTGTTGAACAAAGTAGAGGTTAGTGGGACTGTGCCCTTAAGGAACTATTTCTTATCCTCATCTTCAATCTGCCCCTGTCTCTCTCCAAGTACTGGCTAATATGAATTAAGTAGACCCTAACCGTACACTTTTGCCACCCAAGTAATCTGCCTCACCCAAGACTCAAGGAAAGGGATCTAGCTAGCCTTAGATTAACCCTCTGAAAATATGAGCCAAAATAAGTCTTCCCTTTGAAAATTATTTTGTCAGAGCCACAAAAAAAAACAACAACAACTGATTAATACAGTCCTGAATAATGAAGTGTTACTGGGCACATCTGCAGAATGTATCTGTGTTGCAGGATTCCACCTGGGTCCCGTTGCCGCTTTAGCCCCCAAATAACACACAGGATGATATATCAATTATAAAGTTGTTTTTCATTTGCTATGGTTTCTAATCGACTAGCTCTGACTTAATTATTAACCCACAATTACTAACATATATTTTTATAAGGTCTTATCTTACCAAGAACGCCAGACTTGCATTCTCTCCTCCAGGGATCACATTGCAATGACTCTCTACTCTTGACTGCATTTCCCAGCATCCTCTGCGACTCCTAGTCCCACCTATCTTGCTTCCCTATTGGCCTACAGTGCTTTATTCATCAACATATGCACTGAAGGACATCATATCTGCATTTAAAGACTCCTTCTATTTCAGTTTATCTTCCCTTATTCAAATCCCCATGAACTAAATGTGAAGAATACAACCTCTTGAGATTAAAATTTTCCAGAACTGATTTTTTTCAGATCACGATGTCTGTATTTTTCTTATCTTTCTAGCAGATATCAAAATAATTTCTCAGGAAGCTATTATATTCAGAAGTACTCCTCAACCAGAAGTATAAATCATAGTAAGTAGGAAAGCTGGGTCTCTATGTTGTATGTGTGTGTGTCCTTCCAAATATGTCATTTTGTTGGAAATTTTATGCAATTTGAGATTTGTAAACCCCCCTACCTTTAAGACAATGTCAATTTGATACTTAAAATGAGGCTGGTCATATAATGGCAACATGTACATCTACTTAGGGAGCAATAAACAGCACCAAAAGTTATTAACAATAATTGTCTTTCAATCTGTGTGCTTTCAGATATCTAGAACTAACCAGTATCTCAACTAATAATACCTTAATGTCTGCCACATTACATAATGCCCTATGTCTCAGCACTTACGTGTTCTCCTTTAGCTTTTCAACACTCAAAATATAGACTATGACTGTATTTTTAATGTATTTCTCTCTCCTCTTCCTAGGTTCCTATGCTTTTATGAAAAGCTTCCTGTTTATAATTGGATGCCAGATTCCTTAAGCATCAATCTTGATCACTCAAAGCAAATCTTGGCATTTTTACACTTTCTCATGTAGAACAGGAACCTTAACGAGGAAGACGAAATTTTCAATGAAAACAAAATAAAATAGTAAGTATAAACATATGGCCACCTCAATCCATCCCCAGTGATGGAGAACTATAGTCCTGCTGTCAGTGTGGATGAGAGCCTCTTGTGCTCACCTGGAAAAGTCGTAGAGCTGACGAGCTATAAAATGCAACCTCTAACATAGATCACATGTTTCATCCCGTCTCTGTCTGCTCACACTCTACGCCCCAGTGTCCAACAGTCCAGAAAAGAACCACAATACACGTAAGCACAGCGCAATGGCTACTGTTACGTCATACAAATGTCTTCATTTAAAGTCAGGTACCCTGAGGTGCCCTTGTTCTCACCCCCTGGTAGATTAGGTTGTTGAGCCTTCAAGGGGAGGATCTCTGTGTATTGGTGCTATCCACTCTGTGTATTGCTGCTATCCACCCCTGGCTGCCTCACAGCATCTCTGCCAGCAGACTGAACTGGTACTTTTCTTTTCTTTTTTTTCCTTTTTGATAGTTTGACGCTCAGTCTTCAGTTTCCCAAGTTGATCTTTAAGACACTCAGTGTATTTGGAAATGTATCCGTGCGTTCAACTTCAAGGTCCCAGGAGCAAATACCTAATGGTGTTTAATAGGTATATTTATCGCTGACAAATTAGCTTCCAGTAGATGGAATGGAACTGAATGCACTGCAGTCTAGCCAACGAAGTTTCTGCTGCTTAAACTCAGTTTAACAGAGGTTACAAAAATCAAAATGGTCAGTGCTTTAAGAAGGTACGTGGGTTTCGCTGTTGTTTTAATTTTACTCTAGCTTGAAAAAAAACCTTGACTTTTCTATCTCTGGAAGTATGTAAATTAATAAAAAAAACCCATACCCAGTGCTATCAGTTGCCATTATGGCAATTAGCAGAATGTGCCTATGTAGAGGACTTTGTCCTTTCCACGTGGTTTAAGTTACTGGCAAAGTAGAGCTAAACATGATGTGAGTGAGTGTCTTTAGGTTGGTGATTTATAGCTGTCCACAGCTATCGATTTTTATTTTAAAATTATTGAAGTAATTATGAGCAGAGGATGAAAGCTGAACTTGAAACCATGACCCCTAGATGATTTATATAGTGAAAACTATACACCAAAGTGGCTTCCCTGGATGAAATGTCCTCAGCATTTTCTTTCATGTAAGGCTCTTAATATGATATGGTCCCCAGAAAGCTTCCCCCATGTGCTTTCTCACACTTTGATATTTTTACTATTTTGGGAAAAATGCAATTAATAAAGAAATGAAATAAAAAATAAAGTATTGTGAAATATGGAGACAGTATTTTCAAGTGATATCATTCATTACCTATCTAGTAGGCTCCAAAGAGGCAAATCTACAATGACAGCTCAACTATTAATTTAAAAGATAAATAATAATAATAATAAAAATGATAGATTCCCTATACATATTTGAAAGTAGTTTAAGTTTATGCAAAGGAAAAATGAATTATCAATAGAAACTAAGAATCAGAGCCGTACTTTTTTAAAGCAAAAACATTATACTCTGATGATGATATCAATATTGAGGAAAACACATTTTTCTTTCTAAAAAGATTAAATATTGTTATTTCCTTTACCTCTAATCTATGGGTTTAACTGTGATTCTAGTTAGAAATTATTTTTACAAATCCAAATTTTAATTGGTATATGATTGTATCTAGTATATTGTCAAGGAAGATCTAAAATAAAAGTAAAAAGCAGATAGCATTGATAAATTCAAAATGTACTACAAAGTTACAGTAGTTAAAATAGCATATACTGAAACAAAAATAAGACCACTGGCACATGTCAGAAAGTGTTGATCATGTTTGGGAATTCAGTATAAGCTGTTGAAGAAACACTGATTAGGTAATAAATTGTGTTTTGATGACTGGCTAGCCATTTGGAAACTAATTAAGCTAGATCTCTACCTAACTCATTATCCTAAAATAGATTCCAGATGGATAAAATATTAAACTTAAACCATGAAAGTAGTCTAAAAGGAACTTGGATAATTGTCTTTAATAAACTCACAATAGAAAAGGCTTTGAAAGGTGACACATAGCTTGAATGCCAAGGGGGAAAACCTGATCATTCTAACCACACAGAAATGAAAGTTTGCTCTTTAAAGCTAGTAAATGAACAAAGTTAAATTGGGCAAGACTAGTATGGTAGACAGAAGCCTAATTTCGTTAATGAAAAATATGAAAGCTCTTAAAGATACATTGTTTTTAATTCTTGGGGGCTCAGTAGCATATTGACAAAGTATTCCAAGTTCCTGGCCTCAGAAGAAAAAAAAAACTCATTATATAAACCTTTGCAAAGACAACTGTAGGTTTTTGGGTTTTTTTGTTTTTTTGGGGTTTTTTTTTTGGTTTTTCGAGACAGGGTTTCTCTGTTTTGTTTTGGAGGCTGTCCTGGAACTCACTCTGTAGACCAGGCTGGCCTCGAACTCACAGAGATCCGCCTGCCTCTGCCTCCCAAGTGCTGGGATTAAAGGCGTGCACCACCAACGCCCGGCCTAAGACAACTGTAGTTTAACAACTACGAAATTAAATTTCTGTACACATATAAACAAAGATTATTATTTGGCATTATGAATTACACAAGGGAAAGATGAAAAGAACATTGATGTTTTTCTAGGAGAATAAAGTAGTGTGTGTGTCCTTTCTTGAATGCAATTTACACTTAAGCATAACAATATACTGTAAATGACATACGAATGCCATTTACATTAATTATGACAATATCAATTTCCATTGAATACCACTTTCAGCAAGTTAAGCAACAGATACATCCAGAAATGACTGATACATATACAAGCAGACATTAAATATATCCATTTAGCAAAGTTGTAACCACGTGCCACACTTCTTTGCCCACAGAAACAGTTACAATACTGTGCTTCTTGGGTGTCTCTTTCTGTATCTCAGCCATCTAGATCTCTGTGTTGCGCTTCCCTGTGATCCAGAAAGTAAAGGATTCAAAACTTCCCTACTAGTGGGGACCATTAGCTCCTCCCTTTCCCATTAAAGTCATGTTCTACTTACATTAGTCACTACCTATGCCATAAGAACCTTAAAATATTTTGATATCGCCTATGTGAAAGAATGCCTGTTGTAGTTTCTTTGACAATGAAAATAAACAATCTGTCCAATTATAAACAGAAAGTATTACACATCAATTTGAAAAAATAATGAGACATCTGGGGATGTGGCATGGTGTACAGAGCGCTTGGCTAGCGTAAACGAAGCCCTGTGCTCGATTCCCAGCGCCACGTAAAGTGAGTGTGGTTATGGATGCCTGTGATCCCACCACTCTGTAGACAGAAGCAAGATAGATGAGATTTCAGTTTTCCTCAGCTGTGTAGCTCAAGGCTCTCCTAAGCTACATAAAACCCTCTCTTCCAAAAACATATAGTAAAAAATAAGGTGAATTTATGTAAAACCATTTGGAGAAATGTCTGCAATGAATTTATAAAAGTTAAGCTGTGGAATTGTGTGTGAGTTTTGTTTGTGTTTACCTATGTCTGTATATTTAAAATAGATTTATGTGATAAAATTTTAAACATATCTAGAAGATCTAATAACAAATGGACTGGACAGTGAGGAACATGTGCAAATAACAGGAAACACTTGGTTTTTACTCCAACACATCTGTAGCATTTATTTTTTTCATTTTCCTATTAAAAATGATCATGTGCTACATATAAAATAAAAATCTACAAACACAAAAGTAGTCCTTACATTGATAATATTTTAAGTCTCTTAACTACTAACCTTAAATTTTTATGAAACTTCTTTAGGTAGAGAAAACTGAAGTGTTACTTCCAAATGCATTTTTGTATGTATGAGATAAAATATTCCAGAGCCCAAAAGAAGCCAATGATAATACAGATATAAAATTATTAACATGCAAACCCATGACATGGTAATAGAGTTGTTTTCTGACACATTTCACAAAAATATAAAAAGCAGGCTAGAAACTAGTTCAATTCCAGGGAAGTAATAAATGTAAATGGTAATTTCCAGTGGCTACCAGTTGTAGTTACTTATGAAAATACACACAACTTTCACCCATGACATGCTTGCTCCAAGTTTGCCAATGTAAGTGTACTTTCCTGTTTATAGTAATAATTGGGGGAAATCCTAGGCTTGACTGGATGATAAGGAAAGCAAGTAAGTATAGACTCTTTCTCATTTGAGTTTATAGATCTTCTTAGTTCAGTCCATTGTGAAGTAAGGACTTGTGCATGCAGAGTGTCACACGGTAAAGTGCTGAAATGTTTTCCAGATTACTGCCTTTTAAAATAGGGCCTTAATTTGATAGTTCATGTGACATTTCCTCGACTTTTCAAAGTACAAGGCATCTGCAATATTACGTTTTTCTTTGATCTACTTTCTTGTTCCCATCATTCCCTATGTGGACACCCCTCTTCCTTTTTATCTTCTTTTCTTTTATACTCTAACATTTCTGTTCCTACTGCCTGGATTTCTAATATGTCCAGATTGTTTAATTGTTCTTAGTTTGGCTTCTTAGCACTCTTGATCTTGACTTAATGATGATCGCGATTAACCTCCTAGGTATCAAGATGTTAACTCTTATTCAATATAAGACATTCCAGTAATAGAGATGGGCTCACATTGATCCACTCACTCTACAACAGGGTCCCCATTGTGAGTAATGACGCAAAGCATCAAGGTGACTGAAATTAGTGGAAGCAACCGAGGTCATAGAATAGATCAAACTTAATGATTCTATAAGAACGTTGGATCGACCTTGTACTTAATGTTTTCTAACTTGAGACTTAAATGCTGTCAAAACTTTCTTTCTGTTCTGAAATATCCTTACGCCAGCTTTTCTTTGCTAATGTTGAGGCTGAGCTTTGATAGAGGCGTGTGTGTGTGTGTGCGTGTGTGTGTGTGTGCGCGTGCGTGCGTGTGTGTGCGTGCGTGTGTGTGTGCGCGTGCGTGCGTGTGTGTGCGTGCGCGCGTGCGTGCGCGCGCGCGTGCGTGTGTGTGCGTGCGCGTGTGTGTGCGCGTGCGTGCGTGTGTGTGCGTGCGCGTGTGTGTGCGTGCGCGTGCGTGCGTGCGCGCGCGTGTGCGTGTGTGTGTGTGTATGCGTTCATGTTTGAGATTATAAAATTAGCTATATATACATATATATGTTCTAAAATCAAAGCAGTTATAAAATAAAAATAATAGACGTGGTACATCTGAGTCATGTTAGTACTGAATCACTATAATATTATGTAGCTAGATCTGAATAAAGGTAAAGCTTTATCATTATAATATAAAGCTACTTGCTGCCAAGATTCTCAACGGTCTTATGCATTCAGCTTCCATTGTGCAGATTTTCCTTGGCTGCTACGCAGTATGTCACTATAATTTACTATCTTTTAGTAGGGCTAATTTCTATTCCAACACCAGGAAAATATTTAGAATAAAATGAGTGCTGAGACGATTCCTAGTTACAGATTTCTTTTATGATTACATTCTTTTCAGAATTTGATACATTTGTTCAGTCTGTTTTGGATATTTATATGTATATATTTATATGTGTGTATATGTGTACCTGAATATATACACATATATAAATATGTACATATCAAAGACAAAAATATTAGTTATATAAAGAAATATGCTGAAATGCCTTCAAAAGGTAGGAATGAAGTCATCTTAGACAGACAGATGCAAGAATAAAAAATAATTATTAAATTGCAAAAGTTATTTACTCTAGAAAGATGGCTTGTAAATATGTGACTAGAGAAATTTTGGAAACACTTCAATAAGGATTAATGACAGTTGGTCAAGAACAGTAACAAAAGAAATATGACTAATAACTTGTTGGGTTTAGATATGTATGTTGA